TAGTAATGTGTTGATATTGATCTATAATGATAGAATGTATATGAACGATCGACATTGCGCTTGTCTTTGAGACAGTTTTATGAAAATAGCAATGTCTCCTTTATATCGTGCAACTTTTTTGGGAAATGATTTTCTTAATGAATAAAGCGCCAATAATGTGAGATTCGGCGACTATTCGCTTGCAAAAGTTGTCTATGAAATCGACTACGCTGTGAAAAATCATCGATAGAGCATGTTTTCATTTGGAATGAACGTAAATATTATTCGAATGATATTATTGCGTATTTGCATAAATATATACCATGTGAGTGGGATCACTGCGAAACGTCATTACAGCGAAAATAATTCTTTTTCATAAAATACCACTTCGGTGCTTATGACTGTGGTAATTTAGAGCGAATGTTGACATATAGGACTGGAAAATATTCGAATTTTAGGTCGAATGAACTGTTATGAAGATCTGTTGCAGTTAGCATATCATTTCATTCTCTGCTTTGAAAACATTTGAAAAGTAGACTGTTTTGATCTAAAGTTGTTATTGTTCAGCAGAATTAAAACCTGAAACGGGAATATTTGAATGCTCACTTCCAAATCATTTGCGTCATCAATGCTAGATGAAAAACAACCGTTCAGTGCAATGTATGCAAATTATTGTAAGCTACTTTCAAACGAAACCAAAACACAATTTATTGTTGTATGAAATTCGCCATATTTCAAACATCCAAATTAGAATCATACCCAATCAAGAACTAATAACAATAAAACACACTTGTTGTCTTATCTACAATGTGCATTCATAGCGAGTATATCTCAACAGGTTCGTTCGACTGAATCGGATCGTGATCACTTCATATAAATTCGTGACTCTTTGGCAAATCGTCTATAATTAGCTTCTCATTTATACTGACAATCTAACAAAGAGCACATTTTATATGATAGCAACTATCATAAATACAGACAGATATTTACAAGTTCTTAATGCAATTGATAGCGGGTCAAAATTAACAACAGATGGTCACAGTGAACATTTAACACCTGTTTCATGTTTGAAAAGATATGTGCTTTTCAGGAATGAAGAGGAATGCAATCGATGTTCGAATCGAGATATATAATACCGAGAAAGTAATGACAATATCACTGAAATATTCGTAGAAGCGATCGTTGCACAATCAGAGAGCATACTTTGATGAGTGTTGCCAGTGACTTAATTGGTTCGCTGAAAAAANATTTGCTGTTGTTGTAGCATCTAAACTATCATGTTAATTTTTCTGCAATGTGCAGCAGAGAGAGCATCAGCCCTAATTTCTTTTAGAGCCATCGACATTCTTTGCCGACGCTCGGCTTTCTCCGTCTTCGAGCGATTCGCTCACATTAAAAGTACTGCATTGAGGTCGTGCACGTCGATTCGAATGTGGTGAAGATTTGATGAATACAACCAACAAAAAACAAAACAATTCTGTACATATATGTTAATGCGGTGACATATACTGCCATACATTCCGAGGTGATTCGAAAGGAAAAAAAGCGAAATTATGCACTCATTTCATTGTTTGAACCGTCTCAGAATGTAAATTGATTTCGTTGATAGCAATTACAGCGTTAATAGTGCGAGAGTAAGGTGAAGAGAGGCACATGAAAGTTATTTGAACCAGGTATCATACAATGCGGATATGGCAAATCAATGACCGATGACTGGACACCGTCATCATGCCAACACCAACACTCCAGCAAACATCAATTACAGTAGGTGAATGGACAGACTAAAGACGATAAAATCAAAAGGATAATCGAAATATACAGTGGAAATGTATAGTCGAGAAGCAACTGATAGCATCAGAGTTGATCAGAGAACATATACAGAAAAATCTGCAAAGTTGTTGAAAATGTTGTTGTTTTATACATCCGACCTATTTTCTGGGCAGAAATTCACTTCTTCTTCTCCTCTTATTGTCATCAAAACCGGGTGTTGTTATGGGTGTAGCCATAATTCGTTCACGATCTTTCAAAAAACAATACGATCGTACAACAACTGAGAACACCAAGTAATTGATTACTATCGAAGCCGCTATTAGCACATCCATTAGAGCTGAAATTCATAGTGTAAATCAAAAATATTGTATAATAACCATATGTAAACCAATAAAATGCAACGTGCCAAAGCAATAAAGCAAAATATCTTTTAAACATTTAATTCAGGTTAACAACTGCTCTAGCCAACAACACAACACCAATTTCCATTAATTGATCAGAAATCATGTGTTATTTAGTTATCACGAAACTTCAAAACGTCAATATTTACCTCCAGCTGATTTAATTATGCATGAATATTTTCTGTTCACATCAGAAACTTCTTTCTAGTCTACCTAGCGTTCAGGCGACTGAACTATTTCTGATCGATCGGGTTTCATTTCTCGATGCCGTTCTGATGGAAGNAAACATGTAATGGTGGATAACGATGTATACTCACTCAATAAAGGCATACGAGTCGCTCTTTCATTCGTTATCGCGTCCAGCAAGCAATGCTTGTTCAGGAAGCACATGACCAGCGTGGCACTCAAAAAGCCGAAAGCGATTATGAGTGTGCAAACGAACGCACCCTGAAATAGATTCGCGACCGATGACGAGGATGCTAACAAAATTCGAATGAATCAGTTTGGAATGAATCTCGAAAATGAACGATTTTTGTTGAAACGGTGGTTTCAATCGATGCTTTTTGTTTGCATTGAAGCAAGGTAAAAGAATATTCACGATGATTTTCCGCTGAATTTGTCACAGCAGTTCATTTGACGAATGATTAAATTGTTCTAGATGTAATAGTTGGATATGATGATATTAGCAATGTAAATTGATGATTTGTTGATATAATGTGTCAACGAGAGCAGCGGTTCTATTGTATGATCGATTATTGAAACTAGTGATGCAATTGATCGTTCGATTTGTAAATATAAGGGATATATATGTTAAGCGTGCGGATAATGGAACAAACGAACGAACCTGTACGGTAATGAACGGAATCAGTAAACGTTTACGCTCAAAAAATGCACCACTCGCTAGTGTGCCAAATAGAGTGAACATTAGCGCGATGATGATTATTGCATTACGACTGATATTACCTCGATAGATCGTATGCCCTGCGTATAATGATAAGCTGATTAGCATACATATCGAGATGATCTTCGTTGCAATCTGCAATATCGACTTTATTTAGCAACATTCTTACCAGCAACTTCAACCATACGATAATTGTACTGATACGGAGGTTGGTAATAAATAATTTTACCGCAAATACGAATTTAGTTATGAANGATAGTTGAATGTATATTCATAGGAGATATGATGATGTGAGCGCGCACGTAGCAATGAATTGGATGCATGCAAAAAAGTGCCACTACTCAACATCGCTTGAACTAAGTCTGAAGAAACCTCAGAAAACAGCCTGAATTTGATCACGTTCCCGAGCAAGCTCTGATCAGATAAAAGTGGAATGCAATCAAACAGTAGGCAGACCACCGACCCGAGCCAGTGAAAGCTTCATCTTTTAAGAGTGCTAATGACAAAATTACCGCTTTTAACCGCAAGCTGATTATTAACTACCGCAAATTGATTATTAACTACGTCGACGAATACAGTGAATGATGAAATTTGAGAAAATCCGGCTACTTTGATCAACGTTGAGATTCAATACGAGTAATGTGATTTCAACGAATGAATGTTTCTGCTCGTAGTTTTCTATTCGGGACTTGACGAGGTTCAGCACTAAAGAAAAGTATGTCTTGCATGTTTCGGCTCAGCAAGCCATCATGTATACCTAAGTAGGGTCCCCTGGAAAGTCTGCATCCCCCGAATCGATGAACAATTGGATTCTGCTACAAAAAGATTCTTACATAATTTTCTATCATGAATTCGTCTAAAAAAGACTGAACTGCCATACATATTCCGATTCTAACGAAACGGCAAGATCAATATGCCATGATGTGAAGTGAGTATTGCGTTAATCAACCATGATTAGCACAGGTATATGGCAGAGGTTGTTCTCATAAGAAAATACGATAACTGATTAAGGTGAATGTAAGCAACGAACCAATGAATGAAGTAGTGAGAAGGCACATCGATAATCCGACTTTTGTGAATCGAATTTAGGATGAGACATAACCCCGGCGAGTATAGTCATGACTTCTACACGGATATGACGGATATGCACATCAACTCAATGAAATCGACTGACGAACAACAACGCAGCAGTAATGCTTTAGCAGTGTGTCACGAACGCTATATTTTACGAACATATTTTATGTGGTATGACGATCATGTTACCATCGTTGTATAATATTTGTTCATTGTGTTAACAGTCGTCATTGAATTATTCATCGCCACCAATTATGCCCTTTCCCACTCGCTGATTGTTAATAAATTTCACTGTTTCACTGATTAGCAACACGGCTTCTATACAGTTCAGGTATATATCAGATACTGATATTGATATTTAAGTGTAGTTGAAATTGTGACTGCATCAGTCAGGATGAGTACGTCTATCATTCTATTACTGACTTTTTGTTGCATGGTTAACCGATGGATAGTTCATACCGCATTCATTCCAATCTCATTGTCATTGTTTTGCAGTACTTTTTCGACTGAAAAATACATCGCATTCGTTCTACATATCATCAAATTTGCTTGCAAATGAAAATTTTTATCTCAACAATAAATTGATGAAAATTTCTACTGGAATATCAGTCGCAGAAATTTACCTGCCTTTCATAGGGAATTGAAAAGAAAAACTTCATGAAGGAGATCGTTAAGGATAGAAAAAGTGAGGATCCTCATCTTCGGATTCGGTGGGTGTTCGAACACGTATTGTTCTTAGGTATGTCAAATAACGCACGAAAAAATACCGCACAATCAATTGAGAGGATATCACAAGAAAACGGAATAACGTTGCTGAGCCTGAAAATGGAACAAGTCTTGAAAGTGTGCATTAGCAAACAATTGAATTGCAATTATATTCATTGTCAGATATTTCCTCTAACGCAATATGCA